CCGACGGCCGCGGCTTTCATCACCTGCTGACCGTGCCCCACAAACCAGTTACGCGGGCCCTCCCTGGGGCTGGCGTCGCGCCAAAGGGCGTGCCAGAGGGTGGCGGGTTCCTCCTTGTCGGTTCCGGGCGCCCTTGCCCTCTTCCCACGACCCCTTTGCGCGGACCGGTCGCCCTCACGCTGGGCGGACAGAATCCGCCACTTTGAGGGCTCCCTCTAGCGGCTGTCGGAGGGTTGAACCCGGCGGAGTAGTTGAGGACCCTGGAAGGAGAGGACCCCCGAACCTTGTCCTCCCGGGTCCCCTCTATGCTTGCAGGCCACTGACACTCACCAGTAATCCCGACCCTTCCAGCCGCCCCAGGATTTCGAAAGAACTGGAAGAAAATGCTCAAATCGCTAACACTGAGAGCTTTCTGTGTGCCAGACACGGATCTGCATTCATTTACATAAATTAAATCATTTAATTCTTATAAACTCCTGTGACCTAGGTATTATGCATTAATCCCTTCATTTATTCATTCAAGAAATCGTTATTGAACATCTACTAAACACCAGGGATAGTCCATAGTTCTATATCTGCTTTACAGATGGGGAAACCAAGGCACAGAGAGTCTAAGTAGCTTATCCAAGATCACACCGGCAGGAGGTGTCAGAATCTGGGCTCTTAGTCGTCAGGCCTTGGGAAGATGGGGGAGACTCGGAAAGGCAAGGTGGAGCGGGGAGGGCTGGGAGAAAAGAGCAGGGAGGTGTGTCCCCAGGAGCGTCAGGCTTGCTCAACCTGGGCGGAGGAGACTTAGGAGGAAAGATAAAGATCATCTGAAAAAATGTCTTTGTCTGGGCCAAGATGGAAAAAGTTTCATGGGAGGGGTCTCTCTCTGTCCATGACTCTAGTGCTGAAAGTTCCCTGAAAAATCCCAGAGTCATAAGCAAACACTGGTTGATTGCCATGCGGTGCCAAGTTTGGGGGCGTGATGGGGGGGGGGGTCTGGCTTAAGCAGGAGCTGGTCTCTGCCTGGAGGAGCTCCTGGCCTTGAGGGGAGCCAGCCACACCCACAGCAATGCCACCCACTCTTGGGCAGAGAGAGGAGGCTTCCCAGGAGAGGCCCCAAAGGTGGGTGGAGAGGATGGGTGAGAGCCACGTGGAGGGAAGCAGGGGAGGCAGAGAGCACCGTGGGCTCTGGGAGCGATGAGGGGGTGGGGGCAGGAGACCCCATGAGAAATGCGGCTCCCTCTGGCTGGGCCTGGAGGAACATGGGGGGCAGGTGTGGGGAGTGTGACGAGGGGGCTGGACAGGGAGAGGGCAGACGTGGAGCGAGGGTAACCAGAGGACTAGGTAAGGGGGAGAAAATCCTGTAGAACTTTTAAAATTGCTCTTAGATCCTTCTTGACCTCCACTACCCACCTTTGATTATTCTCTTTGCCCCGGAAGAGAAGAGCAGAGGTGTAACTATCAAGCAGGTTGTACATGGGAGAATGGGGCCACTTAGAGCCAAATGAGATGAGGGTGTTCTGGCGCTCAGAGTGGGAGAGTCTGAAGCTTCTGAAGCTCCAAGTTCAAAGGGACAGACAGAGCAAAGCACAGCCAATGACAGAGCGTGCGAGGTGAGGCTCCAGAAACAAGCCTGGGGCTCGTGGGGGCACCAAGAGGGGCACCTAAGCCAGTTTTGGCGGAAGGGGGGTTCAGGGGAGGCCGCTTACAGGAGGTGGGGCTCTTCTGAGTCCTGAAGGACAGGCTGCAGTCAGCTACAAAGCGAGAAGCGGGCATTATGAGCAAAGGGTGGGGGGTGGGCAGACAGGGAGGCGAGCAAAGGCAGGGCATTCTGGGAACAGTAGCAGGATGGCACGGCCCATGGGCCAGGGAGTCCGAGGGCAGTGCTGGAGATGGAAGTTGGGGCCAGACCAGGAAGTGGCAGCAGCTACCCTGCCTCGAGCTCTCTGCGCTACGAGTTCACACCGCACACACTCTGCCTCGTTTCGCTGTGAGAGGGCACGCTAGGCGGTGTGGACTGTGTGTGAAGGCACACGTGGCCTTGGCAGGGCTCACAGTAGGGGAGAGGCCTGGTGGACAGGGAGACCAGTCCAGGAGTGAGGGTAGGGGCCTGGGCTAGGGCAGTGGTTGAGGTCATGAAAGATCTAAGAGCAATTGGTGGGCTGGAATGGATAGGCTTGGGGCCTGAGAGGAGAACTGGTGAGGGGAGGGGCAAGGAGCATGCCCGTTTCTCTACTGAAATACGTGGGGATGGAGAGGCCATCATTTCATATACACTCATATCTATATATATAAAAGCCTAATATGCAAAGTGTCCCCTCCGGAATTTGACCAGCCGGGAGTTCAATCACTCGCTATGATGTGCGCTGACCACCAGGGGGTGGCGGGAACAAAGGGAGGCCCTGACCGGCAGCCGGTAGGGACCCTACCTGTGCATGAATTTTGTGCACGAGGCCTCTAGTCTAGTGTATCCATAATAGAGTACTGTTTCCGACCACACCATTCTTTCCCACCAAGCCCACACTCGGCCTCAAGAGCCCTCTCAACACAACACTCTAGGCACCCGTTACCTATGAATCAGAGTCCGAGCAAGAGAGGACGCCTACTTGCTCTGTCACTCAGGAGTGTACTTCCTCCCAGAAGTCAGCGGAGCTCAAGCTGCCTTTTGATGGCAAAAATGTCACAGCCCTGGAGACTGCCTGGGGGCCAGTCACCGTGCAGGTGCCCCTGGCTTCCTAGACAGACAGTATTACTCCATCTCAGGATCAGGTGCTGAGTCAGGCAGGGGAGACGGGGGTGGGGGAGGGGGTCCTCAAGCCCGTGGGAATCGTCTGTGTTAATGCGGAGCACAGAGGGTTCCATAGCCCCTGGTCTGTTTGGACCTCCAGGGTCCTGGAAGGTAGCTGGGCAGCTGCTGTTATTTCCAACGTTCTGACCAGAGAGGTTGCTTAATTTGCCTTACATCACACAGTACTTAGGGGCAGGGGTGGAACTGAACCCAGGACAGCCCGGCAGCCAACCAGGACCCTTTCTCCTTCCCCAGTGCCTGCTGAGGCTGCACCAGTGGCCTCCACAGGAGCACAGGAGACCGAAGCGGCCCCGGCCAAAGAGAACCTAGTGGACATGGAGGCCGAGGAGAGAGTGGTCCCCGCCTCGCCGGGCCAGAAGTCCTGGCTGGTGCGGCATTTCTCGCTGTTGCTGAGGCGGGACCGGCAGGCCCAGAAGGCCGGGCAGCTCTTCTCGGGGCTGCTGGCCCTCAACCTGGTGTTCCTGGGCGGCGCCTTCATCTGCAGCATGATCTTCAACAACGTGGCCGTCACGCTGGGTGACGTGTGGATCCTGCTGGCCGTGCTGAAGGCGCTGTCCCTGCTCTGGCTCCTCTGCTACGTGGCCGGCACCACCCGCCGGCCGCACGCCGTGCTCTACCGGGACCCTCACGCGGGACCCGTGTGGGTGCGGGGTGAGTATGGGGGCGCTGGGTAGATGGAGAGGGTGGGGGGGGCGGGCCGTTTCAGCGAGGTGCCAATGGCCACTGGTCCAGCCAGGCTCCCTGCTGCTCTTTGGCAACTGCACCATCTGCCTCAACGTCTTCCGCGTGGGCTACGACGTGAGCCACATCCACTGCAAGTCGCAGCTGGAGCTCCTCTTCCCTGCCCTGGAGATCATCTTCACGGGCCTCCAGGTAACAGGCCCGCCCGCCCCCAGGCCGCGCGCACATCCCAACCGATGCCTGGAAACAGCCTCCCGGGCAAATCCCTACGTGGCCTAGAGTATGTACACACGCCACGGCCCCCCGTAAACGCCTGCCTGCGTGTGCCCCCTCCGTGCACACCGACATAGACTGCACTAACACACCGTGTCCCTGAGCACAGACACCGGCAGATACATCCGCTGTGCTACGTGCTCGTACCTAAACCACAGCCTAAACCACGGCCCGCCCTTAATGATGAGTACCCGCTCCCTCCTGACTCCCTGTGCTGCGCCAGGCACTGTGTTTCGTTTGCACGATCTCTTTTATTTCCCCAATAAGCAGCCATTCCCCTGAGAGGTAGGCGTTTTAGTTTCCTCTTAGAGTTGAGGAGATGGAGGCTCAGAGACATCTGGCCACTGGCCCAAAGCCACACAGCAAGGAAACACTGGAGCCAGGATCCCAACCCAGGTTTCCCCACTGTGTCTTCCACTGAAAATACACACAAGCAGCTGGGGCACACACACACCCCCTGGCCCACCCCCACCGCCCCTGCTGCTGGGCTCAAGGCCCTGTCTCTTCCAGACCTGGGTCCTCTGGAAACACTGTAAAGACTGTATTCAGGTCCAGACCAACTTCACTAGGTAAGAGGGGGTGCCTTCTCTCCCTCCAGCAATTCCTGGGGCTCCCTGTCCCCAACTAGTGCATGCTCCCCCCAGCTTCCCGGACAGGGTGGCCCTGGGCTGCCGGTTGGTCTGGGAGTGGCCCCAGGTGCCCACCAGGACTGCGTCTGCTGAAGGCCCAGAGCAGACGGGATCTGGCTTTGGGGGAGAGGGGCCACCCCAGATGCAGCGGCGGTGAGGGCTGGGCACCCCAGGAACCGGCCAGGCTGTGTGGGCAGAGTGTGGCATCTCCCCCAGGTGTGGCCTGATGCTGACCCTGGCCACAAACCTGCTGATGTGGGTCTTGGCCGTCACCAATGACTCCTTGCACCGTGAGATCGAGGCGGAGCTCAATGCCCTCATGGAAAAGTTCTCAGGTATGAAGAGACCATGCCCCACCCCCACCGCTGGATGGTTCATGTGTGCGTGCACACACTCGCACCCCCACTCCCTCCATCGGGCGAGGGTCTCAGGGAGTCTGTAGAGTTTCGAGCAAAGTTAATCCATGACTAAACAGAACGCAGACATTTGCCAGTGGTACCCGTCCTGCCCCCTCTGTGCCTGCCCCATCGGGTGCTGGCACCCTGCACCCCTACTCCAGGCTCCCAGCTAGCTGTCAGCAAGCTGGCCACTAATCCCAGCTGAGCTACTCACTGATAAGGTCAGGTAAGCACCCCACCCCTGGTGTTTGCCTTTTACTTGCAACAAACTAAAAAGTCATGATTCCTGGACGTATCAGAAGGGCCGGCAAATTTCTGGAGAGAAAGAACCCCTCACATTGCTCCATGTGCCCAATCCCTACCTGTACGGTCTGCCTCTTAGAGGCTGTGTCCCATAAGCCTGAGTGGGTACATTTCTATCTGGGGGTTCAGCCACACCTGTGTGTATACACCACCCCCCCTCCCCGAGGGCATCGCCATCCTGACCTGTGTACAGCCAGGCCTTCCCAGCACACACCTGCCGCCTAAGTCACAGCACGCCTGCGCACTGTGTTAACGCTTTACCCCCTGCATAGGTTTCTCAGAGGGGCTGTGCAGAGAGAATTTTTTGCAAGTGCCACCATAGATTATTATTAAAAATTCAAACATAGAGGTGAGTAGAACAAGATATAGCCATCACCCAGGCATCACAGGCTTCTCAGAAGCTTGACACATGAAGGCTGGAAACCTTCGGTAAAGGAATGGCCTTCCTGTAACTTGTGATTTCCTAGTGTGCTCTCTGGGCCTCAGTTTCCACACCTGTGAAATGGGTGGCTTACTCCAGGGGGTGAAAGGGACTGATCTGTGCAGCTGGTTTCCTCAGAGCCAGGCTCGCCTGCCCCCTCCCCCCCAGGCAACGACACCAACACCTGCCTGTGCCTCAACGCCACGGTGTGCGAGGTCTTCCGGAAAGGCTACCTGATGCTCTACCCCTTCAGCACCGAGTACTGCCTCATCTGCTGCGCTGTGCTCTTCGTCATGTGGAAGAACGTGGGCCGCCGCCTGGCTCCCCACGCGAGCGCCCACCCAGGCGCCCCGTCCTTCCACCTGCACGGGGCCATCTTTGGGCCGCTGCTGGGCCTGCTGGCCCTGGTGGCCGGCGTGTGCGTCTTCGTGATCTTCCAGATTGAAGCAAGCGGCCCCTCCATCGCCCGCCAGTACTTCACCCTCTACTACGCCTTCTACGCAGCCGTGCTCCCCAGCATGAGCCTGGCCTGCCTGGCGGGCACGGCCATCCACGGGCTGGAGGAGCGAGAGCTGGACACGCTCAAGAATCCCACCCGCAGCGTGGACGTGGTGCTGCTCATGGGAGCCGCCCTGGGCCAGATGGGCATCTCCTACTTCTCCATCGTGGCCATCGTGGCCACGCGCCCCCACGAGCTGCTCAACCGCCTCATCCTGGCCTACTCGATCCTGCTCATCCTGGAGCACATCGCCCAGAACCTCTTCATCATCGAGGGCCTGCACCGGCGCCCGCTCTGGGAGGCGGCCCCCGGGGGCCTGGCGGAGAAGCCGGAGGCCGAGCCCCACCGCAGGGGCTCCCTGCTGGAGCTGGGCCAGGACCTGCGGAGGGCCTCGCGGGCCTACATCCACTCCTACAGCCACCTCAACTGGAAGCGGCGGGCGCTCAAGGAGATCTCACTCTTCCTCATCCTCTGCAATATCACAGTGAGTGGTACCCGGGAGGCCTCGGGGAGGAGCTGGCCCAGAGATCCCCATTCAGGAAGGGCTGGTTCAAGGCGCACTCATTGCACACTGACTGTCCCAAGGGTGATTGGCTTATCTATCCCTTTGATTGTCAAGGACACATGCCGCTTTCCAACCAGCTCTATGACACGTGAGAGCAGAGAGTGGCCCCCAGCTCCCTGCAGGGTCCTTGGCACGAACGAGCGTGCCACGGGCACAGCCAAGTGCACTTCATACAGCTCCCTGTCCAGCTGGGGAGACACCAGGGGAACAATTAGGGAACTGCCAAATAATGAACTCTCCGCTGAATTCAGTCCAAGGAAGAGAGCAGAAAGTGCCTGGTTCTCTAGAGAGCTCCTGGTAGGTGTTGAGGATGGTTGCTCCGTCCCATGTCCCCATCCCCAGGCAATAGCTCAGCATCTCGTGGGTCGTCACAGTCGCCATGCAGCAGGCACCACTGCCATCCTGGTTCACAGACGAGGAACCTGAGGCTTGGGTCGTTAGGTCCTGCTGCCTAAGTGGCAGTGCTGGGCCACTCAGGGCTGTTTGAGCTCCTGTTGGTAAGGACAACGCTGGAAACACACCTCCGGGGCTGAAACCCCTGGTCCAGGCAGACAATAGGCCTGACTGGGGCCTACAGAGCAGTCGGGCCTCCAGGCAGGACGTGTGGGCCCGAGTGGCCGAGGAGGCTTCCTGGAAGTCTGACCTGGGCCTTGAGAAATGGGTCAGAGGCAGAGCCAGGGTCGAGGGGCAGAGACCAGCTGAAGAATGAAGCAGGAGAAGAAGGTGGTTGGGATCAAGGCACAGGGGTACCAGCTGGGCAGAGCAGGTTGTACCACGGGGGGTGGCACCGGGGGTCTCGTGACCCATCGGAGTTCGGCTGAGGTGTGGGTGAGAGGGGTCAGGAGGGACAGGGCTGCTCTGAAGGCCAAGGATGAGGAGGTGCTGCAGGAGCTGTGGCGCCGGGCCTGCCTCCCCTGAGCCCAGTGCCTCCTCCCCTCCCCTCCCCTCCCAGCTGTGGATGATGCCTGCCTTCGGCATACACCCCGAGTTCGAGAACGGACTGGAGAAGGATTTCTATGGCTACCGCACCTGGTTCACCATCGTCAACTTCGGCCTGCCGCTGGGCGTCTTCTACCGCATGCACTCTGTGGGGGGTCTGGTGGAGGTCTACCTGGGAGCCTGAGGCTGCCCAAGGAACCCACCCCTGGCAGAACCCCAAAAGGCCAAGGCTGGGAGAATGAGCCCGGAGTCTGAGCAGAGGCCCCATTCCCGGGGGCGCTTAGTGTAGCCGGGGCTCCCCCAAAGCCTCCTTTTCCCCAGAGCCTTGCTAAGGGAGGGGGGGGCGGAGTGTGGGTTACTGTTCACAGCCCAAGACCAAGGGCAAAGCCTGGATACTTCTGATGCCCGCACTGAGGACAGGGCGCATACCTGCCCCTGCTCACTCCCCCCACTCCCACCCCCGCCCCCAGGAAGCCCCACAGCTACTCCGGGAGGGCCAGCCCTAAATGACTGAGTCTGGGGAGCTTGTTGGAGTGGGGCGCCCCTACCCAGCCAGGCTCTGGG